CAATAAGTTATGGGATCTTGAAATTTAAATTATTTTTGAGTCTCGGATTCCTCGCTCCGTTCGCCAAACCTCAAAGAAAAGATTCTCGGAAATGTAAATCCACCAAAAACGTGAAAAACCTTTTGCAAATATAACACCTTTTCGTTTTTAATTATTATTGAGTCTCCGATTGCTCGCTCCGCTCGCCAAATCTCAAAGAGAAGATATTCGGAAACGTAAATCCACCAAAAAAAATGGAAAACATTTTTTAAATAACACTTTCTTGAATTTTATATTATGCGTGTTTGTAACTAAAACCTACCAAAACCTTTTCATATCATATATAAGTGAAATGCCTGCGAAATTATTCCATAGAATAGAAGTAGGGACCTAAAGTCACTAGAACATAGACTTTGGCTAGAACCTTAGAACCCCTTTTTAAGCACTCCTTCGTCTCCTTCTACCAGTAGCTTGTTACAGGGGAAGCGGAATCAAATTCTTTGGTAATTTTGTCCCATGCACTATGCAGAACTTTTTTCTTGATTTGTCGCCTTATCTGTCTCTTTATTTTCAATGGTACCTTTGTACCTATCTGGTCACAATATTGATAAAATCTCATTTTCCGAAAAGTTTGAGGATCGACCCTTTTTTTGCTTCCTTTCCCTCCATAATAAAAAATGGAAAAATTGAAAGGAATATTGAAAGAAACCTAATTGCCACCATTAACGTCAAAATATTTGCGTCAGAAATGAGTGTGAAGTTAACTTGTACTCTATGACTAGTAAAATCTGTTTTTTTTTTGAAGATAAAAGTCAAACTGACATTATGTTGGCAATACAATGTAAAATTGTCAATGCTTTCAAATTTTTTATGTAGAAAAGGCTTGTGTTGCCAACATAGTTACTAAATTTTTGACTTGGGGAATTATCTTTAAAAAAAAAACAGACTTTACCAATGTTCCCGATTTTTAGTGAAATTCCCTAGATCCCTAGTTAAATTTTGAGCCTTACCTGAAAAATCACGGTGCAAGGCTTTAGAAATTGATCTGCTCTTAAATGTTAACTTGTCCGTTAATTTAACTGATCAGTTAGATAAAACGGTGCAAGTGGGCAAAGTCCTCAAACTGTTAATTCGTTTCTGAAAATTTCGATCTTGATCAATATCGTTCATCAAAATGAAAATTCATCCCTTTTCAAAATTTAACCCCCGATTAAAGCTGCCACCCTGAAACGGCAGACGGTCAGTTTTTGTATGTCCAGGTAACCCTCAATCATGATTAATTAATAAAAATTTTGATCAATATCGTTCACCGAAAAACCTGCCAGCTCCTATACTAGTTTTGAATAGCGCGGTTTTGAATATCGCCCTTTTGAACCGGAGCCAGTAGGGTAAATATGATCATAAAGTCTGTTTTTTATTTAAAGATAATTCCCCAAGTCAAAAATTTAGTAACTATGTTGGCAACACAAGCCTTTTCTACATAAAAAATTTGAAAGCATTTACAATTTTACATTAGGCAATTCAATCCATCTGTCAAAAAGGAAAATTCAATGTGGCTCGGCGGCCAAGCAAGTTTGTTTTGAATATGTTTTTATGCGTATTTCAAATTATTTTGCATACAGTTTTGCTTACAAGTTTGATTTTCATTATTTAATAAAATATTTGTTGACTAGGTACCTAAACGATTAATTCGGGCAGAACCTAGATATTTTTTTGTGTTTTTTGGCCCATGTGTGGCCGCCACGCCATCTTGAATGTCACGTGGTTTGAATTGCCTAATTGTATTGCCAACATAATGTCATTTTGACTTTTATCTTTTAAAAAAAAACACACTTTAGTTTAGGCAAACAATCAGGGGTGCGATTTTCGAAACCATTCGAGTACATTTCGTACACGAAATTTGACTGACAGCAATGTAAATTAAATGGGGAGCAGACAAATTTCGTGCACGAAATGTACTCGAATGGTTTCGAAAATCGCACCCCAGGACGGCGATTCTCGAATCGTGTGATCCCTGTTCTCATAGGAAAAGTACCCGTGGTTTCTATTAAAATCTATTACGATGTATTCTCGAAATTAGGGACCATTCACTTCCTATGAAAGTTGAGAGAATTTTATTCTACTACTTTTTTTAGAGAGAACGTCTGTTCTCGGGAGAACCAAACGTCAAACATGCGCTTTTTGTCAATTCTACGGTCATCATCCATAGTATTTTTTTGTTTGTTTTGCAAATTATTTATCAGTAATTGCCAATTGGGTACATTTGCATATTGTGGAAAATATGGTCCAATACGAAAACGTGGGAAACCATGAAAGCTGGGGCTATAGGAAGAATTCTTGTACTGAATAATCTACTAGATGCAGAAGAGCAAGAAGAAAGGCCTACAATAGACCGTCAGCTAATGACATATTTTGCTGACCGATTTTCTCTCTTCGGGGATTTCAACCACTGAAAATTATGTCAGTGCTGAGCTCAAAAAATTAAAATTTAGCGACCGAACTTCTGCTAGGCATATGGAAAATGTTCTTTCCTTTTGCAGCGGCCGTAACATATACCTCAACAGCTGACCGGCTTATGGAATTTTTTTCTGGTTCTTACCGATATCAAATTTGATTCTGTCGATTGCCATAAGCAAGAAAACAATCAGCCACCGAATATTCTTTCACAAGATCGTGCCCTTATTTCAACCCTTCCAGTACGCGCAAACCTTATGGCTTTGGTTTTTCACTATTAGATTGTTCTTCAATGTTAATGTGTTAAAATGCCATGAAAGAGAAATTGAAAAAATAACCATTTTTTTCTGCAAGAGGAAAATTAATTTTCCATATGCCTAGCAGACGTCCGGCCGCTAAATTTTCATTTTTTGAGCTCAGCACTGACATATTTTTCAGTGGTTGAAATCCTCAAAGAGAGAAAATCGGTCAGCAAAATATGTCATTGGCTGATGGTCTATAAGGAGATTTTACATAAGAGAAAATCCCTTTGATTCAACGGATAATAAATTTATAAAACTATTTAGATTAAGCAAAGATCCTGCTCAAAATTTAATTGATTTATTGACACCTTTTATACGGGATCCAACTAGAACTTCATCATTAAAAACTGTGGTAAAATCGGAGGTAAATTTCCACTTTGAAGTTTCTCATTTTGCCTTACAAATTCAATGAGCATTTCTTTTTGAGTACCTATGATTTATAGGTGAACATCTTGATTTTTCCAAATTCATTTTCCACATAAACAAAACAATACAAAAATAAAAATTGTAAATAGAATGATTATGATTTGATTTTCATTAAATAAATAAGCAAAGAATGAGGTTACGTCCTAAAACACAAATAAAATAAAACGAATAAAATAAACTGATTTTCTTCTTTCTCATGACATTCGTCCTTTTAACACACTAAAATTCTGGCTAATTCTACATATTACTGTTGGCAACAACGCATTATGATTTGACAAGTTTTCTCTCATTCTATCATAATCCCATACGTTCGAGAATACCAACTTTGGCACCAAGAGAACGAGCGTGCGATGTGATCTGTCACTTCTCTTAGGGGAACGTTCACTTCTACCAAATTCGAGAATCGACTACCAGCAGGCTAACTCGAGTGACAGCCCGTGTAATAAAGGAATTCATGGTTGGGATGTCAGTAGCGGCCATTTTGGGATACGAGACAGGGCCTGATTAACGATAATTTAAGTTTTTTCTTTCGTGTCACAGAGTCGTATCGGCTTTAAATAAATTAATTTTGATATTACTTACATAGTTACATATAATAATATTTATAATTACTAATTTATTATTATTATTATTAAATATACAACAATGATAACAGATAAAACCATAATTGACAACACGAATATACTAAAATCACTTTGAAAATTATAACTAAAATTTCACTCTACACCGCACGCCTATGACCTCTGTCAGAAATAAACAAATAAAATAAAATTTCGGTGCCCCTGCCGTTTAATGACAGCGTTATGACAGAATGGTATCCCCTGATGGCGGCCTGCGCAGAAAAGATGCGCGTGAGAGTTATGGCCATTTCCACCAAACTATAACAAAGCTTTGCTTAACTATGAAGCCCTTAAAAGTTAAGGGACACTCAAATATAATTTCGTTCCACCATAGTTTTTAAGTGCAAGCTTAGCTAAGTGTCGTACAGCTTTGACAACATTGCATTTCAGGTGAAAAATTTGTGTAGTTTTCGTTTTTACACCAGTCGTGTCAATGTTATCTGTCATTCGATGCTTCCCGCTAATTTTTTGTAAGATTATAATAATATAATTACTAATAAGTAATATTATTGATAGTTGTTGTTGTTGTCCGGGTTCGGTTTATTTCACAGAGAAGTAGTTTAGATATTGGTAGTTTATCCTGCATTGGGTGTGAACGAGCACGAAGGTGCCTAGAGCAGCGTGGAGTCGGGGAATAGAAACAAACAGGGAGAGTTTATTCAAAAAAAGCCGGACACCAAACTATACAATAAAGGAAAAAGTGCTGCTAATATCGTTGACATCAAAAAATAAGAAAAATCGAATCGAAAATAAAAAAACACGGAGTATCTCTAGCCGAAAAAAATAGGCTTTGGGAGAAAAAAAAAAATACGCAGAAATTAGAAAATTGAGAAAACTTTAATTTTATCTCAATTCAATTTCAACGTTTGTTATGTCAACAAAAACATATTATGCAAATGGCTTGCGCTTATCATCGCCACTTTGTTGAGGGAGGAATAAGCCTAGAAATTTCTGGGCTTAGTTAAGCTTATCTTAATGAGACTAGGTTAGACTGGTGGAAAAAAAAATACAATTTAAGCGGCACTTAACGTTAAGTAAACTTAAATTTGCGTTGGTGGAAACGGCCATTAGCCTGCTGGCTTTAGGTTCCAAATGACCCCCCAACTCAATTAAATAACGGATGTACCAAACACACCCTTCACCCGATGTTATTGAGCAAACAAATATAGAAGTTGCTCGTGGCAACGGTAATGATTTATTGAGAATGAAGTATATAAAAGTCATAACGTAATCTTCAGAGTTATTCTGAGGAGCTTCGCACATTTTTAATTAAGTTTAAACCACTCAAAATGGTCTACAAAAGTGACACTCCTCATAGACCACACGACTACAAGTATGGTAAGTTGAAAGAATACAGTAAGATCTACTAAGCTAATCAAATGAAAAATTGCAAATTTAAGATCCAATTTTTACTACGTCTGGTCCTGCAGATCATTATAAAGCGGCAATGCTAGCTAAAATGTCTTCACTAAAATACGTAAGAATCGATTTCAATAGGTGATGCTTTTTTAATCCAACTACTTCTAGCAAGTTTGTCCAATTTTCAAAAATATGTTTTCCGAACTGAAACATTTTCCGAGACTGCAACTAGTACCACGCCAAACAAAACCCATAATGACCTACGAGGAAAAGTTAAAGGCATCAAAAAAAGCAGCCGCAGATCAAGCTTTGCATCAAAAACCTTCGGTGGACGTGGTTGGGCGAGATAGAGCAAAATTTTCTTGTGGCGTCATCAAATTTCCACCACCAGAATTCAGGGGATGTCTGGATCATATGCCAATCTTTACTATTGAAACTGGTCAAAATGGCGAAGAGGCCGAAGAGAGTGTAACTTCAGGACCAAGAACGGTACAAATTGGAACTATGTACAGGGATTCGTATACACTGACTACACCATGGGAACCGCCTTATAAGGTGATTGGAGAAGGAGATCCAGAAATTTTAAAGTTAGAGTTTCTTAAATGGGGTGCTGGATTCAAATTTGTATTATTATAATATTTGCTTAAATGGCGTTGATTCTAGGTAGTGGATTACCTGCTGGTATGCACCAAATAAAGCTTATAGAGAGAGGTAGAATGAAAAGATGTTGGGAAAAAACAATGCAACCAAATGTAACTGACGACAAATATTTGCAAAACTTAAGGGATTATGTTGAGGCTATGGAGATGGACGAATGGGCTTTTAGGGAATCGGTTAATGTCGTTTCATTTATGCTTGAACAACTACAAAAACAAAATATTATAGGAAATCCAAGAAATTCAAGATTTACGGTTGAAACTTTTGGAAAAAATGCTTGAAGAAGTCCAGGAACGATCAAATACGAGAGCTAAAATAAAACTGGACAATTTAATCCAGGCAAAAGAAAAGGAGAAAAAAATCAAGTTGGAGAAGATTAGAAAAGACGGTGCAAGAGGTATAACTAGCAATAATTAATACTTAGTAGGCAATATTCTTTATTAAAGATTATATAAATTATACCTACGTACATAGAAAACTTGTGTGACATACATGCTTGCACATTTTTGCCCACACACAGGCAAACATGAACGCGCAAGCGTGTACGATAAACATGTATGACGCACATGTATGCTAGTTTGTGGCCAGCTTTATGCACATAGTATGTATTTAATTGGAGTATGTAGTCCTTATGTAGACAGTTTTACTAGCTAAGGTACCTACCTAGAGCATTGCTTACTTAAAATACGAAAATATTTTAAAATAAATCATTCTAGAACTTAGAAAAATAGAATTACAAGAAAAAGGTTTCAAACGGAAGTACCATCAGCCCGATATTGTCAAAGAACACATCATGAAAGACTCCGAGCTTTATGCGCCACTGACGAGGCACGGAGAACATCCGAAACGTTGGCATAATGTTATCGATAAATCTTTCATCAGATATAAAGCACAGTACATTGGTAAGAATCTTAGCAAATCCTCCTAAAAAATTCTTGCTTGCTTGAAATTCTAGGGGTGGAAAGTTTTTGCACTATGCCGCGTTGGCTGAACAAAGCTTCACTACTTAAACCCAAAACGAAGCAACGTAAAGATGTCGCACAATTGTGTATTAGAGAGACTAGATGGACAGCTCCAGTATTGAAGAATCTGCATGAAGAACTTCTAAGTGAGTAGGTAATCCAATAGGTAGAATCTGGTAGATTACTTTCATTTGGAACTAACCCCAGTATTTCTACCGCATTTAAAAACAGCCTTCCTTGCAGAACTAAGGATCATTTAAAAATTGCTTGAGCGTAATATGAATTGTGTTTCAACTGCCTCGAATTTAGGTGAAATTGTAATTATTATTGACTCCGTTTATATCTAGATTTGGGTAAAGGTAATGAGAAAAAGGGTTGTTCATTGAGAGTAAGAAACGTAAAAGAAATTGAAGAAAGTACCACTCCGGACGCTGAATATATGTCGATTGAGAGAGATAGAGAATACCAGGCTGAAGTATTTTTGCAAAAAATTATTGACGGCAGAGCGACACAAACATGCGTAAGAAGACAATAATTATTTGGCGGTTTTTACAGATTATATTGTAGATATATGAAGGACTAGAAAATTGCAGAGAACTTATCGGAGAACTGAAGCACTCTGTAGGTTTGATGAAAAAGCAAAAGGAAGATCGTACAAAAGAAAAAATGAGAATTCGTGCTCAGCAAAGAGAAGAAACTATTCAGAGTGTAATGGTAAGAACTACGGGCGTTTGATTTTTACCTCAAAAAACAGAAAAATATCTTTTTTCTAGGTTTGTAGACTGCAAGGTTCCCTGGGCAAACTCCAAGGACAAGTTGTAGGTTCCCTATTGGACTTTCTCAATAAGGAACTCAGAAGACTACTTGAAGAACGAAAGGCGCATGCAATGTGTTGGGTAAACGAGAGAGAGCGCAATATAAGAGAGGCCGCTGAAGCAGGAAGAAGGCAGAAGGAAATTAGACGCAGGCGGGAACATGATGAAATTTTCAAGTGATAGATACATATTTAATTATATTGTGAATATATTGGAAATTCTTGTAGGCAAATTGTGAAAATAACTCAAGAATCGGTGGAGGTGTATCTGAATGATATCATAACCGAAGGTATGGAGTTTTCATCAAAAGACGAAGCCATAAGTTATGTTTTAACTGTTGCGGATACATTGGAAAAGAAAGTAGACGATACCTTGAATGATAGAGTTAAGGCTAGGAAAGCGGTAGATGTTGAGGTAAAAAATACCACATCAATCTTTCAGTCACGTATAGCAGAATAAATCTTTACAGGAAGAACTTATGGCAGATATGATCCACCATTTCTTCTTGCCGGAAGGTGTTAAGCAAACAATTCGAGACAACATCAAAGCTGAGCAAAAGCAACAAATGAAAACTGTTCATGAAGCTGTTCATCGTAAATTTGAGAATTTACCTAAAATTGGTAGATGGCTAAATTTATAAACTAGTCTACGACTATAACTAGTAGATTTTCAGATCACACTCAAAGCTGGCCTGAAAGCTCAGTATTCTCATCTTCGCCTACAATAGAGCACTACCATCTAAAATTGGAAGAATGGCTCACAGCAGCAGCACAAGACGTTGCCTCTGAGTCAATGATGGGAGGTTCGCATCTTTCAGATGGTTCCACTACTCCACTAGCAGGCACAATTGGTCAAAATATTATTTTCTCAGGAGAATCTGCTGAAGGTATTTTGTGTTGATATTTTCAAATTAAATGCTTGATAATGATTATAGCGGTTTTGGAGTGCCGAACAGATGGTTCAACTACAGAAGTCTCAAGTTTAGATTTGGTGGCTGAAGACAATGTAGGTAAAAGCGAGGAAAATGATCAGCTATCTTCCGAAATTGAAGAAAGCGGTAACAACAATTTTGGTTCACTTAGAAACTTGGATACAATTCCTGAAAGTGAGCGTGAGATTAGTATTACTTCTGCAGCTTCAACGGAAGGTTTAAACGATGAAGGAGATGTATCAAACTAATAATACCTAAATATATTTGTTTATAAAATATAATACATAATATATTAATTTAATCCAACAAGCAACAAAATTAAAATTAGCGTTATTCAAAAAAAAATTGTAGGGGAAAGTACACTGAGATGGCATAGTCACTGAAATGGCATAGCGCTTGTAATTTGTGAGAATCGGATAGATATGGCAACACCGCTGTTGCTGCGCGTGAATAATGCATATGCCGTCGTACCGACGCCATTTTTGGTTTATTTCACATTATTTCTGTTCGCTTGTGAGTTGCTGCGTGAACGTTTTAAAAAAACGACGCTTAAGAGGCCAACAACAAGCCGTTAAAATTTGAGAAAAAGGGTTGATTTTGTCATATTCCTCCATAATATCATGACAATGTACCTTTTACGACCCTCGAATACTTTCCCAAATAATGTCTCGCCGTCGCCGAAAGAAATACTATTATATGACCCAGACTTTCTGTTAAAGAACCCAAAGATATTGTATGTAAATAAATTAAACATTTGTCCACCATAAACCCCAAAATTCCCAAATATCCTTAATGGTCATTCTTTGAACAGACTGTCATTTATTGCCAATATTTATTTAGGGTTTTCCAGTTGTAATTATGTAGGTTTTAGAAACGTTTTAGAAGGGATGTAAAGGTCGATTTGTAAGAGATCTAGTGAAGCAAGAAGACAGTCTTAAGACAGCTTCAGTCGTAGTAACACATTTTGTTAAAACTCTCTCTAAAATAAGTCTTACTTTTGCTGTAGTTCAATTTCATTCTATATTCCATTACCTAATAAAGCTACAAGTTTCAAACCAAAAACAAAAGTAGTTTTAACCAAGGCAAAACACTGAAGGATCACAACAATTTCCCGAGACGAGAACTCACTTATTTTGTAATATTTTTTGACCGGATTAGAAAATAATAAAAGATAAAAATCTAAAGAATAATGCTGTTGTTTTAGTTTTTCGAAAAAAAAATTGCAAATTGAAAATATCACGACCTAAATACTCGAAAAAAAGCATAATTTCTATCGCTCGGTACATCCAAACCCATCGCTTTTTTTAAAAAAATGAAACAAGAGCATTGTTCTAAATTTTATTATCTTTTCGAATCTTCTTGATTCACTAAAAAATATTAAGTAGTTTTTGAGATCTCGTCTCAAATTGTAAAGCCCTGCAAACACGGAAATTCATAAATTTTGGCTGCAGCGAGGTGCTGCCTCTGGCGGATTTAATTTCGCACCGGGGTAAGTAAAAATTACACAACGCGAGAGGACTGCAAGGCCAGTTATTAGTTTGTGTAAATAATTATGGTGAATATATTTCATAATGAACTCAAAACCAACAAAGATTACTTTACTAGAATTCAATAAACGAAAGAGGATATCATATAGCATAGTTAAATACAGTTATAGTCCAGGAGGTGGCGCCAAAAACATGCAAGAGTTTTCGCAAGGCGGATATTTTCAAAATAGGTCGTACTTTAGTGCTAGAATGCTAGTGTACAGTCAGCACTCACAGTTCCGGGACAGCTGGCTCTGGGACGCGGGCAAAGTTGTAATTTTAAGAAGCATCTAAACTGTTTTCTCAAAGCTCAAAATTTATAGAAATTTTTGCACATTATCTGTTTGAAGGTCACAGATAACGTATGTAAATCGTCAGACGTCTAGTTCGTTGCAAAAAGGGGGTCAGACGTCCACAAAGTTTTTATTTTATGGCATTTTCTTCATATATATTTGTCAAATACCTGCAAAAATATATTTTGACAGGACACCGAAGAAAATGCCATAAAATAAAAACTTTGAGGACGTCTGACCCCCTTTTTGCAACGAACTAGACGTCTGACGATTTACATATGTTATCTGTGACCTTCAAACAGATAATGTGCAAAATTTCTATAAATTTTGAGCTTTGAGAAAACAGTTTAGATGCTTCTTAAAATTACAACTTTGCCCGCGTCCCAGAGCCAGCTGTCCCGGAACTGTGAGTGCTAACTGTACACTAGCATTCTAGCACTGAAGTACGACCTATTTTGAAAATATCCGCCTTGCGAAAACTCTTGCATGTTTTTGACGCCAGCTCCCCAACTATTAGTACGTGAAGGTTAGGAATAAAATCCATCAAAAATACAAGGTTGATTTTTTTTTCAAAAAATGTCGGATACGTCGATTTTTGATTTTAGTGGCCGTTTTTTTGATGAGAATTTCATACATTTGTCAAAACTGACATACCAACAATAAACTAACATGTTTTGATTGTTGATTTGAACCAATCAGATTGGAATTACGTGATAATTTATATTAGTGTAAATTATTGCATAGTAACTAATGCGAGAACTGGTGTTTTGACAAAAAATTTGAATTTTTGATTCATGAAATTTTTTCATAAAATACAGTGTATCCACTTAAGTTCGTAGCACATGGGAAACTTTTTTATTATCAATTTTACGAAAAAAAGTTATCCTTTATAAGAGTTTCTGCTTCTTGAAAAAATAATATCAAACTATGTATTAAAAGTTGAAATAGCATGTACAGGGTGTCCAAATTTGGATGGTTTTGATAGGAAACGTCAATTTCTGAGCGAGATACAAAAAAATTAACCCCCCACTCAGTAGGGTCGATATGGTGGTTACTCATCAACCCCACTCCTATGACGTCACGTTCCTGACCTTGACCTTGGCCTTGAAAAATGACCTAGTAATGTTCTGACGTCACACGACCTTGGCCTTGAGTTGCTATGTGACCTTGAGTGTGCGCAGCCTTGAGTTGGCGCTTGACCCTGATTTGTTTAGATATATTGGAGTGATTGTATTTCTTTTGAATCTTTATTATTGCAAATGGAAATGATGTCAGAGTTATTTTTCACTAATTTTGAACCACTCTATCGATTGAATTCTGATTTCAAAATATTTAAACCTCAATTGCTCGTTTACCGTTGAGCAAATTGCATTGAAATTTTTAGCGTTTGTGGCTCTTAATAAGCTCCAAAACCCTGTAGTTTTTAGTATTCCCACGTTTATACTTTTTGAGCAAATTGGGTTTGAAGTTTTAGACAAAATTTGGACTAAAAATCAACTTTGAGGCTAGTCAAAAACTTTCTGAGCTATTAAACTCAATTTTATACAGATTTATAGAGAATTTATTGCTTTTTCCAATGATATATAATTTATTTCAATTTGCTCAAAATTTACCAAAGATATCACAAATTGCTCATGACCATATCAAAATTTGAAAATTTTCCACACTGAAAAAATGCTAGTCTTGAATCAAAGTAGTAAACTCTTTTGATAAGGAATTATTAGCGACAAGAGAAAATAGTTTCTCATAAAAGAATATCCATTGTTTGGAGAAAAATGTTCTGAGTTCAAGTAAAATAGTTCTCTTAAAAAAATCCAAAAATTCTCTTGACTGTTCCTTTCTTCAACCAAGTTCAATTTATGTTCTCTCAAGAGCTATGGAAATTATAGATATGGAAGTTATTCGTTTGAAAGACATTACATACATTTATTCCGACCAGAAGCAAAATACAACGCGATGGGAATTATGGGAAAGAAGTGCAGGTGAACGATTCAAAAACTATCCAATATAAGTATATCGAACTTCACCAGAAATTATAAGTTGTCTGTTTTTCATCAACCAGAAAAATGAAATGTGCCTAGTTAATTTTTTCGTGTTGGACACTCGATGCTATTTGCAAATTTCACAATCGATTCTTTGTAGCCTATAGCGAAGTGGGAAGAAGATGAAATAAGAAGAAATAAGAAAATTATTTACTTCCCACACTTTACTATTTAGGTACAGAATTGTCAATGGCACCAAAGTGTCCTCAAAACAATTGACACTGCTATACAGATAACGTGTAACTTCTGTGAAGATCGGAATCCGATCAAGTAATCTTTCAACTAAGCAACATGAAGTTTGACTCAAAAGACAAATATCTTCCATCCAATATCAAAATCTCTCTTACATGTTGGGTTTGAACTACGACAGTAATAGCTTTGAACGAAAAGAATAAAATCTTGCCTTAAGTAATTTTAGAGAATCTATAGGAAGAGAGTTAATGCTTTGGATCAAGAAACATCGCTCTAGGTTTATAGATAGGGAAGTTATTCGTTAATAGGGGAATAAAACGATTTATTTGGGCATTTCAATTTTTATTATATAATCCACAAGACAAAATTTGATTTAAAGAGCTTTTTGTTAGACTTATTCGATAATGTATTAGATTATTGAATAAGTGCGTAACGAGGTACCAGACGTGAACTGATCTCTTTTAGTATCTCATTCATTTTTTTTTGGAAAAACGAATTTTCAAACAAAAACCCAGGTATTTACAAAAATCTACATCCTAAAGGTAGGTAACAAAAATATATACCGTAAAATGGGGTGACTTGAGACGATTTTGACTTTCAGCAAGCGATATTTTGTAAATTATTTAACTTAGCGATGACTTAAACACGCCAAAAGTTGAGTCCTAACCCGTAGAATCGGTTTTATATGTTGAGTTTTATGTGAATAACGAGTTACCCAGGGTTGGGTTACTTGAGACAACCATATATTTCAAGCTTTTGCTCATGTTTCAAACCAAAAGGATCACTTGAGACAAAAGAAACGTTTTTTAAAAGGTGGCTATTGGCTCCTAGCGCTAGCAGGTTTGATATTGTCACACCAATGAGTGCTTGAAATCTGAAAATGTCTCTTCAAAAAATGCCGGACCTAATATTTTCCAGGCAAGTTATTTTTCTTGAATTTTTGAATTTTAATTTTTTCAGTTTAAAATGACCATTTGGAAATAATATCAGGATTGTTATTTACTAAAAGGGTCACGATTGGAGTGATTGTATTTCTTTTGAGAAAAAAAACCGCAACGGATCTTGTTGGAACCACACAAACTCGAGCCCACCCCCCACTTCTCAAACATAGTTGGCCTTGAATTTTCAGATGTTAGCCCCCCCCCCCCCCCCCCCCAGACACACATAATGTTATCTCAGCCTTTCTCTGTCAGACGACCCCAAGATACCTATAAAATCTCTTCGGAACGAGGAAAGTTATTATAGTCACACGGGCATCGTTTTTATTACGACCTCGCTCACTTGAAAGTTAACTAGAAATATTGTGTTAGTGAAGTATTCTGAAAGTGCATATTCAAGGTACCGTATAATCTGTTACATTTTTCATAAATTATGAGTATTTCAAAAGATACCTTGGTTGAAATTAATAATATGCTCAACAAAGTTGTTAATTTTCTCGAAAAAAGAAAAGTTTCTTCTTTAAGGTTGGACGAAGTTTACATAATTAGGAAACTGGTGCCGATGGTAACTTGGTTTGGTAAAACTATTCTTGCCACATTGTATGATAAAACAGAAGATGTGACTTTTGAAACATTTTTGCCAAAGCGTGTAGCCGAAATGTTACCGGAGAACACCGTCGAAATTATGAATTCTTCTTCTGAAAAATACACGTTATCATATTTGGGGCAAACTTCGCATTCATATGGGGGTAACTCTAAGTCTCTTTTAAATTTCGGGTCTTTGGAATAGATTTTACATTATGGGGGTGGACAGCATATTATTAATCAATAGTTTTCGAAAAATGTAATGAGTTTTAGGGTAATGTAATTTGTACATATAAGGATACATTCATATTTCAAATATTTCTAAAGATGTGTGACATCAGCAATAACACACCAAGTGTTAATGAAAAATTGGATTTCTACGTGATCTGGCTGGCGCGCAAACTAGGAGACATGGCCCAGGAAATATTACATTTCGAATATTTCAACACGGATGTTCCTGCAAATGGTCAGAATTATTCGAAATATGTTCAAGATGCCATCAACTTCAATGCCGGAGCAAACTTGTGCCGAAGATATTTGTATGGTTCCTTTGGTCTTGATGAATTCTGTAGTCGAATGATCGAGGAAGGTCTGAAAACATATCTCATCGAAATACCACATATGCCAAGTGAATTGGTAGCAAAATATGAGCTAGTACCGGAAGGCGGCCCCAGTGATGGTGATGATGATTGAAGAAATGAACAAGTTGAAATTACTCTAGTAGAAAGTTGTGAATAATTAGGGCTAGTTAATTGTGCTAATGTAATAATAAATCTTTATACCTACATATTGTTTCGCTTTTTGTTTTCATCCTTTACTTTTGGTTAGTTTCCCTTATAAGCCAATGATTGATAATTACTAGGTTAGTTCTATCTAAAAATAGGACGTGTTAACAACACTTTAGATAAATTTGGTCGTCAGAGAGTATTCGATAAACATCAGTTCTTACGTGGTGCCCAGGGAAACGGATTCAAGTTAACTTCTGATGGTCACTATGATATTGAAGGAAAGCGTCTATCAAATGTTGCAAAACCGATACTTGATAATGACGTTAGCACCCAAGAGTTTGTTCTTGACAACATTCGGTTTGTTCATGAGCAAATGAAATCTCTATTAGATGAATTAGAAAATCGTATAAACGAAAGATTTAAGAGCACAGATAAAAAAATGGATGATATTGGAAACATCTATATAAGCAAAGATCTAGAGAATGATAAAAAAATGCGTAATTTAGAACGGCGGATGGAAAATAACGAAAAAAAAACTAATAAATATCGACATAAGAGTTAATAATTTCATTTCTGCATCGAAATGGGGGGTGCAAACAACACAATAGATAAGTTTGGTCGTCAGAAGACAGTTCTTGATGACATAGTTCAAATTCTACGTGGTGCGTCGGGAATAGGATTCACGCTAACATACGATGGTCAATTTGATAATGGGGGAAAGCGTTTAATGAATGTTGCAACACCGGAAACCAGCGATGATGCTACGAACCAACAATATGTGTTGAAGGAGATCCCTAAATTGCGCGTAGAGTTAACACAATTAATCAACAAAATATATCTAGCTATTTATGAAAGTTTGACAAATGTTGACGACCGAATGGTTACATTTGAAAATAAAATCAAAAAATATGATGCACAAGACGAAAATATTGTGAAGAAAATAACTGTTTTGGAAAAGACAATGAGACAGCACATGAAAAACTTGATGGCAGTTGAGAGGAAGGTTAATAATATGATTGCAGCTAGCAAAATAAGAATCTGACAGAAGTAACCTTGAATAAATGACCATTCGTTATTCTTTCGAGTGTATTCGCCCTTGATCCACACTCTCCCACTCGAACTTCATAGTATTTATACCCACATATCTAAGTTTGAACTCATTAGTTTGTCTGCACGATCAACAGTATAAGTTTAGAACCAGAAAAATGAATACTTCTGGTGTCAAGCAACAAAGCACTCTTACACCAAGTTCGCTGAATCCTGAAGCACCCATCGAAATATTGGACACACCGAATTCGTCTGATCGTTCCAGCCAACCAATACCCAAATCAGATATCCCTATCGACTTATCAGATATGCCAACCTACAAAATATGTCAAGAGCAAAGCGTAAATTATTCATCCTCGATATTTAGCCAGGAAGGACAGCGTTGGGATTTGGATGAAGAATGGCAAATTCCACGAAGACCTTCATCAGTATTTTTACAAGATTCTCCACCATCTTTTTCCAATGCTTCATTTGAGCACGAAGAACAGTGTAAGGATTTAGGTGAAGAATGGCAAACCCATTCAAGACCATCATCACCATCTTTACTGGATCCTCCAACGTCATATAGTCAAGAAGGACAACGTTGGGATAGTCAAGAAGGACAACGTTGGGATAGTCAAGATGGACAACGTTGGGATTTAAGTTCTGAAGACTGGGAAATCCCAATCATCTATTAGATGCTTCAACATATTTTTGAACTGTTCCATTCAACATGTTTTCCAGTAAAGAAGATTTTTAGACTTTAAATTTTGTATTAATCAAGTTTTGTAATAATTGAATATGAAATAAAACAAAAATCCCAAAAACTTGTTTATTTATAATCCTTATATTTTATGAATACTTAAAAACTAATAAATATTTAAACAATATCAGATTTATCTATCCACGAGTTGAACTGATTCGGAAAGCCTAACCATTTAACATATAACTGTTTTTTATTGTCTTTTTTACGTTCGCGAAGAACTTTCTCAACTAAATAAACATTTGGGCTTCTCGTCTTCTGCAGCTCAGCTTCATAGAAACAGCCTTTAATTGGTTGACCATCCACAGATTTCAACTGATATGTAGGTGGATTGGTAATGTTAACTTTCACTATCTTAAACAGTTCTGTTGACCAAGATGGTGTATATCCTTTATCAAATATACTCTTATATTTGCTTATCCGCACAATATCTCCCAGACGAAATTTATATTTTTCAGGTATCACCTTGATATGATTGTACATCTTCAAGTCAGTATTTTTTTTAACATTGATGGGTTTCATGCCGATGGTTCGATGTTTGGTATTATTATAGGTTTTCGTTATTGCTGGTAAAAGATGTAACCATTTATTGGATCCTCTAGCAGAGAACTGCTTATATAGATTATTTTTGATGGTTCTTATAACCCGCTCTACAATTGCTGCCTTCATCGTACTATAAGTTGAATAATGATTAATATCGTGTTCCTTCATAAGAGCGTCAAAATTCTTATTATAAAACTCCTTTCCATGATCACTTTGTATATTTGCAGGTGTGTATGCAGCTTCTTCTATTATACTTTTCATTGCCCTAGTAACTTCAACACCTGTTTTGTTCTTGATAGCTCTAACGTATAGATATTTGGAGTAACAATTGATGCATACCAGAAGGTATCGATTCCCATCATTTTCAGCAGCAAATTGCTGCATTTCTGCTAGATCTATTTGCCACAAGTCTTGATACCCCTTAATAATCGTTCGTCTTCGAGTAAAATTTTTCCTCGCTGTTCTATGAAGTTCTTCGACAATTTTAAGTTTTTCATTGCTAGGTTCCATGTCTATTCGAGTGTTGCACGTCTGGTGGTACACTGATGTGATGTATACATTGCTCAGTAAATTATACCCTCTTCACGAAGCTCTTCTATGATTGAAATAATTTCGTTTTCATGTCCGGTATGTCCTGCCGCCTTGGAACTCCACAATAAACGTAATCTATTCACCAACTCCTTCGGCTTATTCCAATAAACATATTCGGGACGTTGACATGATAAAAGTTTTTTTTGCTTTATGGTAGATTTATTGTTCTTTTTTCGAATACCTTCACCCAGTTTCGTTTTTCGCATCAAGGGTTTAATGATTTTCGAATATTTTTCCCACCTAGTTTCCGTCAGTCCACGTTTTTTATCATAGCCATGATATACGGCATTTGTTAAATCTAAAATATTTCTGTAATTTTGACGTACAGATGGACTCATCTCATCCACTCTATCCAACACCTGTGGACTTTTCAAAAACAACAAATCGTAAAGTTCGCTGCTTCCATCGAATATGGCAATATTTCTCGAAAGGTCATCATACAATGATACTTTTCCATCCATAAAACGTACTTCCTTATTGCCAATGTATGTCTTCTTTTTTGTTTTACTACTATTACCGTAATGAACCCCATAAACGGTATCATATTGAGATGGTGTTGTACTTAGACCGCTCAAAAGTGTTTCAAGATATCTCATAGATTTTATAGACGTTTTACCGCTAGAATGATCAGATAATATAGCGGATTCAACTGATGATGGCGGTGTCTCGAATAGTTGTTCCTTTCTCGATACACCTATCGGTGTAGATGATTGTAGTGATTGGTATGATGCGTTCTCTGCTATTGATGGTGATTCCTCAAATATTTCTGATGTATCAATCGATGTGTTCACACTTTGCTTTCGTGGTTTTGTTTGTACATTTGGTTGCATGTTCCGTTTTTGCTGTTTTACGTCATTGGAGATAGATGTTAATGGTTTAGTGATCGGTTCATAGAATCTCTCCAATTCGAATTTATCCTTTGCTGTTTCTGTTTTAATTTGCTTAAATTTTTTTCTAACTGCATCTGTAACAGCTACTAGTTTACGTTTTAAATCAAGTTCTCTATTCATGGTGTTGTCTCAGTACTGTGCACATATGAAATGAATCGCATATGTTTAAATTATACAAATATATAGCTATCAAATCCTTTGCGATATCTTCCTGAATTTAAATCACTATCTTTGTCGATAAAGAGAAATCCATATTTGTTATTCCAACATTTGGAGCACATTTCTTGAAATTGTGTGAAGGTTACGTCAGGAGAAACATGATCTGAGAAGATGTGTCTCAAATTCATTTCGTCTTGTTTGAACATAATAATTAGGTTGGCATTATCACGTACAAGTTGTTTTGGAACTCGGGAATATGTTTGTGCTAAGTAGAAAGCATCAACATTTTTATGTCGACCCATACTAAAGTATGATCTTATTATGTCTTGTTTTTCACACATGACATCATCAAAAATGAAAACAGAGTTTGGTTTGGCATCCGATGGTTCCACAATGTTGGATGCATCACTAAATGTGTAATAACCCATCCCCTTGATAGGCGATAGAATTTTTCTCAAATACTCATATTTCGGTTGGTATAGTGACTTTGAATAGATGTAAACGTTCTCGAAACGTAATCCCAAAGGATGAATAAGCAACGTGATTATGACATTAGTTTTCCCGCAATTTGATGGTCCGATCAGCAAACCGCGAACAGAACGGGGCAGCAAAGGACCATGTCTCCGGTATTCCTTTTGTGTATGTCCAGATCCAACTTTTTCATCAAAATTTGCGATATCAAACTTTTGTTTTAAGTTAACAAAACGCATGTTTTGTCATACACACAGGATCACACAAATAAATAAATATTTCAAACTGTTTAAGGTATTTATCATTCAGATGTCAATCGTCAAACGAAGTGGACGTTCTCGTTATTCAAATAAGACTGGTTGTGGTATTATAAACTCACTAATTAATAGTCTCCCGGTCGAGTTACATATTCCTGGCTACCAGTATTGTGGCCCTGGCACTAAAGTTAGAAAACGTGTGGCAAGAGGTGACAGAGGTATAAATCTCTTGGATTCTGCATGCAAAAAGCACGATATATCATATCTACATAATAATAATAATTTGAGTGCCCGACATCAGGCAGACTACGAGTTGGAGCAACGAGCTTGGGAGAGAGTGAAATCTAAAGACGCTAGTATCGGTGAAAGGGCTGCTGCTTGGTTAGTAACAAATATCATGAAAGGAAAACAACGATTTGGGATGGGTGTATCGACTGTATTGAAGAAAAAGAAGAGGTGCTACAAAGGAAAGCGACGCAATGGTGGTGTGAAAAGGGTTAACAAAAAACGGGCAAGTAGACAGCGAGTTCAAAAAGTAGCTTTCGGATCGGCTATTAGAAGACCAATTCGTTCAGAACTTATGAAAGCTGGAGGACCAAAATTTGTTGAAAAAAAATTCCTAAAAGCTTCTAAAATAGCAATGGCAGCTGCACGCAAGTCTGTGAAAGCAGTCGGTGGCAGGCGAAAGATTCACACACCAAGAATTCTTCCAATACCCAAAGTTGGAGGATTGTTACCTCTTATACCAATATTTGCGGGTCTTTCAGCATTAGGATCTCTAGCAGGAGCAGGAGGGGTCAGTGGAATAGTTCGTGCAATAAAAACTGTGAAAAATGCTAAAACTGAGAAAACAGGAGCCACCTTATACCTTAATTCGCGAGGAAGCGGATTGTATCTGAAACCATATCGAACGGGATTAGGATTATTCATGCACAATAAATCAAAAAACTAACCGAATCCCTACCCCAAAGAGCACTATCCAATATAGATATAGAGAGGTACGCAAGAAAAATGAATATACCATATTTTAGAGGTGTATATATGAGAGACACATTACCTATACACGGTGCACGACGACATGAGACAGCAATTATTAATTTGGATAGTATACGTGGTGTAGGGACACATTGGGTGGCCTATCGAAAAGATATGGATGAAGTAACATACTATGACAGTTTTGGTGATTTACCACCACCTATTGAATTAGTACGCTATCTAAAAACAGGACCAGAGGCTGCAAAAAATATTTACTATACATACGACCGTCAACAACAATTTGGGACAGTTTGGTGTGGGCATTTGTGTTTAGAGTTTCTCCTTAAATCATCATAGAAACAAAGTCACAACTAACCATGTCTGTAACGCCACAGATGGATCGTGATAGTTATAAAAAGATGGCACCATCATTAAAAGAATTCTCTCGATCGGGTGGATTACTCAAAATGACATCTGAGCAGTTGGGTAATATGCCGAAGGAAGTTATGATAGCGTGTGCACCCAAAGAAATCGCACTGATCTGGGACAAGTTACCTGAAGCTCTACAGAGGGATGCAGATATATTAAAGTATCAATATTGTGGCGAACATTGCAATGATGGAGTTAGAAATAATTGTGATGCAAGTGATGGGTCTATCCCGAGAAGATTATTTTGTTGTTATTGTAAGACAGGTGATGTAAAGATAACTACAAAAAACTCCACACAATCAACTGAAAGACGCAGAAGTCGACAAAGTCCTAACGATCTAGCTTGTTGTTGTAATCAACAATAAAATAGATGCGTAGTTGATTTGACAGTCAGTCATGTCCTGCACATTCACGTTAACGGGACGTAGCAGTGTTTTAAGTGCCGATTTTTTCCCACCCATCGAGTTGGATAGAACAAATCGTTATGGATTGGCCCTTTTAGGATTCTACACATACAACTCTATCTTCAATGTTGATGAAAGCAACAATGCCTTTGAATACAGTAAAAAAGGTAGTCCCAAAATTTCACATGTAACTATTCCTCCTGGAGCATACGAAATCGTCGAAATCGAGCGTGCTATGATTGCAGCATTGCGAGCATCCTCGAAAGATGGTGATACTAATCTATTTTCGTTGAGAGCTAATAACAATACGCTAAAATGTGAATTGAAATCCAAGCTTGATATCGATTTTGGTGTAGCGAATAGCATCGGTAAGATGTTAGGATATGAGAGTGGTCCGCTGGAAAGTGGTGTGAAACATGAATCCGTATTTCCTGTAGATATTATGAAAGTGCGAATTATACGTATAGATTGTAATATCACTTCGGGAGCCTACCTGAACTCTCGTGAGTGTCACACTTTGTTTGAATTTGACATAGAAGTTGAGCCAGGTTACAAAATTACAAAAGAACCTCAAAACAATATTTATTTACCCGTAAAGCCTGATGGACGTCAGTTCATCGACAACATCACATTACGTATTTTGGATGATCAAGGAGAGCTGATAGACTTTCGTGGAGAGAAAATTATTGTGAAATTGGAATTGAAGAAAATTTTTGTGTAATAATGGGGTTTTGCTACAATCGTCAATTGCACAGATTTCAATCTATTCAAAAATCTGTTGAAAATACCAATAAAAAGAGGAGAGACACCGAGGAAAGATTCACTCGTAGCTTGAACTCAAGATCGACAACACATTCGCAGCAACTGTCCGCAAAAGATCGTACCTTTCTGGAATTAACCTGTGGTTTGAAATTGAAGCCGAAAAAGCAAAAATGATGACTAGCAGCGACAAGATTGATGTCTTTACAGGACCCATTCTCGACAATTCCATCATTAGTTTACAAGAGCACACATATAAACCGTATGGCTCACCAGTTTTCCAAAACTCTGATGAAATTCGCATCCCGGTTCATTTCCAAGACATAATATTGGACATATCCGAAAGTTATATTTATATCGAAGGAAAGTTTAAGCCCAAAGATCTCACTAAAAAATGCTACCTATCCAATAATGCACTAGCTTTTCTATTCGACGAAATTCGCTACGAAATGGGGGGCGAACAGGTTGCAGTTGTTCGGAAGCCTGGAATAACGACAACCCTGAAAACAATGACGTCTTTTGGGGCTTCACAGTTGAAGCCGCTTCTGACATGTGGTTGGGGATTGACCGAAAATAAACAACATATCGTCGATTCTACTAGTCACGTGTTTTCTGGTAAATTACCCCTAAAGTATTTAATGGGTTTTGCCGAGGACTACACGAAGGGAATCTTCAACGTCAAGCAGGAGCTTATATTAATAATTGCTCGCACCTTCACCAACTGCTACATCGGTGATGTGGAAGCAGACATCACACTTGATAAAATCGAATGGAAGATTCGCCATATCATATTGGACGATACTCATAAGTTGAAAATAATGTCACGCATGAATAAGGGGGGTGAACGTGCCAATATTCAAATGGTTTATCGGAAATGGGACCTTTACGAACCCCCTACTTTGCGCGAAACTTCATCAGATGTTTGGACTTTGAGAACTAGTAACAGTTTGGAACGACCACGCTTTCTCATCATCGGATTCCAAAAAAAACGAAAATTGTGATAAGAAAGAAAAAGACGCAACAGAATTTACTACGGCTGATGTGAGCGACATCCGCTTATACCTGAATTCCTCGGTATATCCATATGAAAGATGGAATCTAGAATTTTCAAAGAAACTATATGCACCAGCATATTACAACTATGAAAATTTCTAAAGTAGCTATTATGGGCGCGAAATGAATGAACCAATGTTGGATTTTGCAGAGTATTTACAAAATCCTGTATTTATTATTGACTGCAGTCGACAATCGGAAGCCGTAAAATCCTCTACAGTCGACGTGAAGATAGAATTTCAAACTAGAAAAAACAAATTTCCAAAAGACACTAAAGTTTATGCGTTAATAATTCATGACACCTATTTCAGTTACAATATGTTGAACGGTTCAGTAGCAAATAGGTCTTTGTATTAGTTTTCATTTTTATTTAGGAATAGATATTTTTTGATGTAAGTTTCCATTTATTTATATAATAAACGTATGTAAAAAACACAGTTTTTTTTTTTTTCATATAATCCTGAAGAACTCAAGTAGTTTTTAATCACATTAGGGAGGAAAATTATAGGTTCACGCAGCCAAATTCATGGTTTCGTCTCGTTGAGAATTATAAGGATGGTCGAATGTTAATAAATTCTATGTCCAGGTTTATTAAGTCAATAATT